TTGTACTAATTTGGCTTTTATAATAAATATATAATATGTTATAGTAAATATGTTACAAAATATTTTGCAATCTCGAATGCACCCATGCCAGAAAAAGGTTGGGACCCCTGATCTATGACAATCTCAAGATACACATATACAGAACAAAGTGGATTGCATATTGTTTGCTGATAGTCTCATCTGATTTCCCCTGGAATCCTGGCAATTACTTCATTGCACGCCATTACTAGTCTGACTGACTGTGGACCTTCCATATTTTCCTTATCTTTGAATGTTTTATATCACTCATACACTTGAGTCATACAATTGAAGTGATCTTTAGTACACTTGAGTCTTCAATATACTGTTTCTGTCAAAGATTGTTCTTAATATTTTTAGAGTTTTTCTACAAGACATTTCAAACCTAAGAAAATTTAATGTCAATTCATTGTTCCATTTCAAATTTTGGAAGCAGCCACTTGATCTACTATTTTTACTAGGGTAGTATTTTCATATATTGTACTTAATGCAGCTTCTTGAAACATGTTGTTATAAATTAAGTTTTCAACTATAAAACATGGAATTGATATTGATAACTTCTATTGTAAATCCCATTTATTTTTAACTATATAAATAATAATTATATTTTATGAATTAAAATTTGTTTAAGATAATATTTCCAATCTTGGGGGTGGTGTCCATTCCTCCTCGTGGTATCCCTGGAGATTCCCTGTGCTATTGGGGTGAGCTGAGCATGGGATGCCTCCTGCATGACAAGCCCTATTACAGGCTGGCCAGAAGGTGTATTAAATAACTCATCGTTAACCCCTACATGGATCCAAATTTGAATCAACAGGATATAGGTAATGCTAGAGCAGGCATGGCCAACATACGGCCTGTCTAATGAATTTATGTGGCCCGTGATCAATCTTTCAATATTAGCTACTGAAGTCTGAATAGCTTGATGAAAAATTCTGACACCTAAAAAAAAGAAAAAGAAAAAAGAAAAGAAAAGAAAAGAAAAGGTCAACAACTAATTGTGCGTTTAGAGTTAACCCTCCATTACAAATCTCGTAAGTACAGTGTAGAGTGTTGATAAAGCATGATAATGTGAAAAATGTATCAATAATCTCTACAATTCAGTCTCTATGGGGTGACACCACAATGAGATCTTGCACTACCTCAAAATCTTCGTAGGGCAGCCTCTAGTTCAGCCTGTGGAAAAAGTTTTCTTTCCAATTCGGCCATACCATAGTCAACATGGCAGGGCATGGCCCGGCCCAGATGAAAACTTGGCAAGGGCTCTGGAGACACAGGGACGGCATCCAGATGCAAGCAAGCTAGTCCAGCAAACTCAAAAACAACACAAAATACGAGGAGGGAAAAATATTGATCAGATGAGAGTGGCAACACACAATGTTGGTATGATGTGTGCAAGGCACGGGTTTGTAGCAGCAGCCCTGTGGAGGTGATGCATTGACATCTGCACACTACAGGAAACCAGATGGAGCGGGGAAAAGGCCTGCAACATGGAGCTAGAGCGGAGGGAACATGGCTACAAGCTGATCTACTTTGGCAGCCCTCGCACCCACAGTGGCATAGGCATCGCCATCTCAGAGCGAATTTGTAATGCTTTCAGTCAGTCCATCGATATGATGACCGTCTTATGAAGATTGTCATTGTGACACCTCACCAGACTATTCATGCTTTTACTGCTTATGCACTGCAAACTGGGCAACTGGAGACTGAGAATGATGCATTCTGGCAGCTGCTCGGTGACCAGATCTGAGACGTGCCAGCTACAGACTACCTCATTGTCAGTGGCGACTTCTATGGCCATGTTGGTGAGACTGCTGATGGAAGCCAATGTCATGGCAGCAGGGGCTTTGGTCAATGCAGTGATGATGGTGAAAGCGTGCTTGACTTTGCCGATTCCCATGATCTTGTCCTCACCAACACCCAGTTCAAGAAATGTCTGTCACTTATGCAAGGCCCACTTTCTACAGTGGAGACACAAAATCACAGATTGTTAGTATGTGTTAGTTTGACAATGTGACCTACACTCCATCATTGATATGAAGGTCATGCCATATGAGATGGTGGAAGCACAACACCGACCCATCATCGCAACGCTTGCATCAATCTGCCAAAACTGCCTGACGAAAATTGAACCAGCCCACCGCACATCAAGTGGTGGAGACTAGGTGGCAGTGAGGCAGAGACCGTCACACATATTCATCTCCCAGCTATGATAACTGTTGAGGAGACTTGGCAGAAGGCAAGACAGTCCATCCAGGGAGCTGCCCAGTTGATACTTGGCCGTACCATCCCAGGTCGACGCTTTGTGAAGCTTGACAATTGGCTCTGGATAGATGATGTTAAATCAAAAGTCCGTGCAAAGAAGAAGCTCTATTGCGCCTTCCTCGACAATAAGACTCTGCAGAACTGGCAGATATACTGAGACACTAGCCATGGTGCCAAGAAAGCTGTTGCTGCAGCCCAAGCGGTGCACTATAAGACAATCAATGAGGAGCTTGATGGGCAAGATGGTGAATGTCTCATGGAACCCCACCACGGCTGGACCTATGCACAATTGCCAAGGAAGAGGTTGAGAGTGCACTAAAGAGGATGAAGCCTGGCAGGACATGTGGATCAGATGATATCACTGTAGATCTTTGGAGGGCGAAAGGTTGGAACCCATCGACCTGGCTTGCAGCTTTCTTCAACCTGATCATCAAGGAGAAGAGGATGCCACCAACTGGCAACAGAGTTTTACCATGCCTGTCTGGAAACAGAAAGGCACGGTAAAGTGCTCAAACTACTGCCCAATCAGACTTCTTTCGCACACTATGAAGTTGTTCGAGCGTGTCTTAGACTGCCGGATCTGCAATCTTGTGGAGCTCACTGTAAACCAGGCTGGCTTCGTCAAAGGATGCAGCACGATAGATGCCGTCCTTGCTGTTCAACTCCTCATTGAGAGGCATTATGAGAAGAGGATCCCGCTGCACATTGCCTTTCTTGATCTTGAGAAGGCATTCGATCATGTGCCGCATGAGCTTATTTGGTGCAATTGCAGTAGAGCAATTGCACCAAACTTATCAGTTTGGTGCAATTGCTCTACTGCAATACAACAAGCCGTGTTCATGGCGTCGCTGGGACTTCGAAACCATTCCACATCTCCATTAGTGTTACCAGGGCTCCACTCTCTCCCCGCTTCTCTTCATTATTGTCATGGACATCATCACATGAGACATCCAGCGACATGTACCATATATGTTACTGTATGCTGACAATGTGCTCCTCATATCCACTGACAGGATCGACCTGCAGCAGCTCGTCCAGATGTGGTGTAATTGCCTTGCACAACACGGCCTCTGACTGAACCTGAGGAAGATGGAGTACTTGACAACAGACTCAACTGAGCAAGGCACAATTGTTGTCAATGGTATCGGCCTCCTCCAGGCTGAGCATTTTAAATATCTTGGTTCTGTGATCTCTGCTGACAGTGACTTGTGCCATGAAGCGGTTGCATGCATCAATGCTGCTTGGCTGAAGTGGTGGTCAATTACAAGTATGCTGTGTGACTGATGCATCAAGGACTGACTCAAGTCAAAGATTTATTGAACCGTCGTCCAGCCTGTCGTGTTATAGGGTGCTGAGTGCAGGCCAACTACAAAGGTCATTGACTGCTGATTTGCTACTATGGAGACCAGGATGCTGCGTTGGATGAATGGCATTACCAGACTCAACTGAGTACCCAACGTCGACATCAGAGCCCGGTATGGTGTTGCAGAGATCAGTGAGAAAGCATGCGAGTGTTGCCTGTGCCTCTATGACCATGTATTCCACACTGATGCTGATTCCATCATCCACATGGGCCTACATTTGGAGATACCTGGGTCTCACTCGAGGGGCTGCCCAAGGAAGCATTGGCTGGACATGCTACACCACGGCCTGCAGGCCATGAGCCTACATTCAAACCAGGCCCATGATCGGGCAAAATGCCGATTCAAAATAAAATCCAGGTGTGCCGACTCCACTGCCAAGCAGGACTAAGGCCAAAGAGAAGAAGAATAATAATATTTCCATAACAGTTTTTATGATGATTGTAAGGAACATAAGCAAATAAAATTTTTTAGAGTTATACATTAAAATGTTGAATTACTATCTGAATTTATCTTTCTCAGTTTAATTTTTAATAGCTTCTAATGGGGTTCATTGTGTAAACTGTCAGGAATTTCATTGATAAACTTGTTGATCGCTAAGACACGTGTTCAGCTCATTAGCCATAAAATTTCTTTTTCTATTTTATTTTTTATCTTTTTAGTAAACCATCAATAAAATGTCCTCATAAAAGAATTACTTACATTTACTCTAAAGTGAACAAGCCTGTGGTCTTATTGTCACTTCAAGAATTTTTAAAAATGCAGTATTGTACGAAAAATGCTTACCTTAAAAGCTACTATGTTTTTATTCTGCTTGTTTCATCTTGTTAAGTTAAAAGAAGTTTCATTTTCTGGTAATACAAAAGATTGATGTGATAAAACTACTACTTACTTGATTTAACTGATATTTAGTTTCGACTTAACTGAAAAAAATTGTCAGCTAGCTATAAATAAAGAAGAATAATCAGTTAAATTTATTCTTTAAATGAGTTATAATACAATAATAAAGATCAGATTTAGAAATTTGATGTTAAATTATTACATTTTAATTATACATTGATTTATAATTATATCAAAATATTGAATTTTATAATTCAATAAAATATTAAATAATGTAAGTGAACCTATAATAATCTTAAATATTCAGTTTTTCTTTGCAAAAGATACAAAATGTCCTATAAATATCAGAATTGCATAAATTTTATTACTGCTATAGTTTTTCCCTTCACAATTGATATTATTTAATTAGAAAATAAATAATTTTACAAATGTCATTAATATAGTATTTTAATTTAGCATTTTTTTATAATATATTTTTGTAAGTTTTAATAATGAATGTGTTATATTTATGTTTAGTTACGCATACGATTAAATACTGAAATGCCAGTGCAAGTTGATGGTGAACCATGGGTCCAGAGTCCTGGAGAAGTTGTTGTAATCAGGTCAGCACTTAAGGTAAGAAAGTAATATAAACTGATATTGTTTTAATTGGAAATTTTTGTTGTAAATAGAGGCAATTATTTCTATTTATTTATACAAATCATTAATTCATCTATTATAACTTAAGTTGAAAAAAATATATATTTTGTTTAAAAAAGTACATTTTAAAATTATATTAAATGGTTTTCTGTTTAATCTGATTTATTCTCAGAAGCACAAGTAATCATTAACATTGGAAGACAAATAACCTTTAGTTGTTTGATAATCAAGTTTTAATTTTTGCATTATTTCTGGCTATTTATAAAACTCCCTACTTCTTTTGATATTTAATATTTTTGTTTTTATTTCCAAAGGTAGACAAAATATCTCAATTATTATTTGAAGTTATTAAAAATTGTAACTTCTTAACTAAAAAAAAGTATTTTTTCTTACATTATGTAATATATAACGAAAATTTTCAATATTGATATTGTTACTTTCAATCAAATTTTGTTTTTTATATGAATTTTAATTTTTGCTTTGGAATTGTCCTGTTTGGATACTGTTTATGATCAATTAAATCTGTTACAATGATTTCTTTTTTGAGAAAACTATGTAATTTGCATCCATAAGAATATATAACTCATTTTTTAAAAGTAAAAATTAGATATATATATGATAAGGAAATATTTTTCTTAAACTTTTAGAATTTGTGAATGAAAATAATGATTCTATACTTTAATTAATATTTTTATAATCATAATTTATAGAATTGCTGCTATTATCTCTCCTTTTGTACAGTACATTATTACCTCTAAAATATGTCATATTTATCATGATTAGCATCAATAATTCAAAATATGTACTGTACCAAGATATTAATTTCTTGTTGGATACTTTTTAAATGTGTTTCATTTTTTTAATGTGAAGCAAGCATAAGATCTTCATATTTTGAATGCAAAGTGATTTCAAAAGATGTTTGTCAATTATTGTTTTCAATTTTGAAAAGTTATAATTTTTTAGTTTTAAAAACAGAATAATTCTTATTTAAAATAATTATATACCAGATGATAGTAATTAAAATACTCTTATTCAGTGCTTTATAGAGAGATATTTATCAATCCAAATGCAGCCAAATCTGGTTAACAATTTCAGGACATGGAATTTAATAATGAATTTTGGTTCTAATTTATTTTTATGGAAAATTTATGCTGCATGTTCCAAGTAATGAAAAAGCAGTTTTCTTTGCATTAGCATAAGTGTTAAAGGCAAGTTCTGGGTACAAAATGTGACCAGAACTATTGAATATCATTCATACCAGTTGTGATAGTTACCACTTGTTGGAATGCACATTTCTTATGAAGTTGTTTTAAGAAAACAACAGCAATGCTGCAACTACAGTTTGGAAATTTTACCATTGTAAGAATTTATGCCAAGATTATTGACTGACTCCACAAGGAGAATGATCTCAAGTAAACTGGATGTATGGGAGTTCAACTCAGTCAAGAGTGAAAACCTATCACTTTACAATTTACTTAAGATGTTAGAACTGTTGTTAAACAGTGAGTGAATAATATTGCAGGTTCCAATAGTGCATGTGTAGTGTCGTTGCAGTTGAATATATTCTATGACACAGCCTGGAAGATACTGAGAAAGTTTGTGCATTGTTAGACATATAAGATCAGCCACAACCAGAAGTTACTTGATGTCAATAATAAAATCTAACCAACCTTTACATTGACCTTCCTTGACAGAATGGAAGTGGATATGTTATGGCTATGGAAGATCCTGTGGAGTGATGAGTTACATTTTCACTTCAATGAAATAGTGAACACCCATAACTATCACATTTGAACACTGAAAACCCTTATGTTTTCCAGCAACATTACTGCACTTGCCAAAAGTTAGTTTTATGTAGATTTACAGTCACGTTTTTCCTTGGATTGTTCTTTTTTTGAAAAAATTAATTTCAATGGGCCTGTAACATGTTCTTTGATAACCCACATATGCCTCAACACTTTTGTCATATCCCAACTGCAACAGCAACAATGCCTCAAATCAATCACTTTCATGCAATGGAGCACTTTCAGATATTGGATATTTCATACAACAGTTTATATGATATTTATTGAAAACAGAGTGATTAGTAATGCATTTTCTACCACCTGGCTACCCTAGTCTATGGATCTTAATCCATTTGGTTGTGGAACACTTAAAAGATATGATTTATTAAGGACATGCTGCAAATTTGGCAACCTTGAAAATTGATATCACACCATGTGAGAAGCATTTCACAGAGAATTAATTGTGGTCAATTGTTGGATAGTCGCTCTCTTCTCTTCTCTCTGTTCATTGTGTTCAGATTTTACACTTTTAGAATAGGGATCACATTTAGCAGTATCCCTTGTATCATTAAGATCTCTGTATAGTAAGAGTATGTTGTATAAGTAAAGTTTGTAGCATCAGTGCCAAAAGTGTTTATATGGTCATTTTTTATACTAATTTTTTAATCAAAATGTGATATTTTAGAACATGCAAAAGATTATCAGATTTAATTGCATTTGGACTACTAAATAAATCTCTAGCAGGCATGGAATAGGAATACTTTAATTACAATCATCCAGTATATATTGTAGAACTGCCCCATAGAATGAGGTCTGTGGGATTACACAAAAAACAGACAAGTTGGCTTGACAGATATACTGGACTTTTGATTCTTGCCCGTTGACAAAATCACAATATATACATAGAACACAAACTATCACACAATTGACAATTTTCAATGCACAACTAATAACAATATAATACGTCACATGTTTTCACTTCCCTTTTCTTTCCTCCTCTCCTTTCAGGGGGTTCACGGCACATGACAAAAATCGAAAGGTACATAACACAAATAAAAATAAACCTACTCATGACACTTTTTCTACCACATACAAACAATGAAAAAGAAACTAATACATTTGGACGATCTCCCACCGATCTACTTTTCCTTGAGTATGTTGTATATTGATTAAATTAATTAAAATATCTATAACCGTGAGGCAGATAATAGTAAAGGCTTATCACACCAATGATAATGGGCACAAACGTTCAAGAATCAAAGTAAAAACATTTAATAAAAGGGGGTGTACAATAAGATGATTACATAAGTATAAAAACTGTAAAAATCCAAATGCATTTTGGACTATTTTCCAATAGAAAAATAGTCCCTCATCAGTTGGTATTAACGAGAGGTCTTAGTATAAATACGTAACCAACACCTTATTAGTCGCTGAGAGATTTTTATTAAAACAAACGTTTTCGATCCATTCAATAGATCATCATCAGGCTAAATGGAATACTTCATAAACAGAACAACAAGTTCAAAATTCAAAAATACTAATAACCAATAACATATCTACTAATAAGAATAAATAATACATTGTAAATGATAAAAATATGTAAATATAAATAACATATTACTAGTACTAAATATTAATACTGTCTGTCCTAACTAAATAGAGTTTCCTTTATATCATACTAGAGTTCATGCGCCTCTTGTAAGTTTTTAACGGTATACTTCCAAGCTGAAGGAAGACCCTCCGTGTCCCTTGCGTTAATGCATTTTTCTTTAAGCTTGCTTCTATAAATTTCTATCTTTTCAGCTGTTCTTGCCAAAGTTGGAGAGTGTATCTGTTTCAGGATTTCTGCTTCATCCCATCGAACCAAGGAACCTTCTGCTTGCACCATCTGGGCCAATACTGTTGTATTAGAACCTTTTCTAATATCATATCTGTGTTCCTTGATCCTTATACCTAGGTTTCTAGTAGTAACCCCTACATATTCTTTTTTTTATTCCTATTAGCTGGTTCTTGTAGGGAATCTTATACACACCCGCCTTATCTTCTTTTTTAACAACCCCTTTATCGTTTCTAAGTATTTTGTACAAATTCAGAGCTCTTTTTAAGATCACCTTTGTATCTTTTAAATTTTGCAATGTCTTTCATAATGCCTCCTNATGGGCTGAAGATTACCTCTTTAATCAATGTTTAAATTGCAGAACCATCTTTCTCCAGGAGTCATTATGTATAATGATGATAGAGCCCTGTGTAAATAATTTTATATTGAATTTTGCTTCAATATGGATTTATGTTTCAGGTGGACAGTTGTTTTTCGTTCTGATGAAAAGACAGAAGACAAGCAAGCCTGTGTTAGTAACAGTTCTGGTTCAACATCTGAAGATACTGCCATCTTTGTGATGAATAACTATTTTGGAATTGGTATTGATGCTGATTTATGTCTAGATTTTCATAATGCTAGAGAAGAAAATCCAAATAAATTTAATAGCAGGTAATGTAAATTTTTTTAATGAAATAGAATTGAAATAAATTGAAAACAAACTGAATATGCAGTATGTGTATATAATTATTTTTATTAGAAAAAAATTATTTTAATAATATTTCTTTACTTATAATCTGTTTTCAGACTTCATAATAAAAGTGTTTATGTTAAAATGGGTTTAAGAAAGATGGTAAGTAAGAAAACATGGAAAGATTTACAGAGAGAAATTAGACTTGAAGTTGATGGGAAAGTTATTGATTTGCCTCCTGTAGAAGGAATCATTATTCTTAATATTTTAAGGTTTGTTGTTTTATAGATATCTACATTAAAAACTTTCAATATATGATGATGATTATGATTTAATAATTAAATGAAAAGTTTAATTCTGTTTATTTTAATGCAAGTAAACTAAATGAAAAAACTATATCATAGAGTTATTTTTGTTATTTTAGACAATTTACAACCGTCTAACAGCCAAGTGAAACAGCTGTAGGATATATTTATTGATATGAAAAGGACTAAATTATTTATTTTTTGTTTACATAAAACCTTGTGATGGATTATTTCAAATGACTAAATTCTTTTCAAAAAATAAAAAAATAATAACAACATTTTGGGAGTTTAGTAGTTCTGTTAATTAATTTAAAATTTAATTATATTATAAAGTAGAATATATTTAATAATAAAAAGTCAGAAATAAACATTTTAAACATAAAAGAATTACTGTAGGTGTTCTATTTGATAAATACAGATGTACTGAACTATTTCACAGATCTAATTTGAATTCTTTTAAAAAATTTTAAGAAATAAAACAGGAAAAATGTTCCAGAATAAGAAAACTGATAAATTGAATATTATTTTCTGTAAAAAATAATAGTTTTGAATATGTAATAGAATTGAAGATATCAATAACCTATACAGATTCTGGCAAAAATCTTTAATTAAATATATATTTAATTAAAGATTTTTGCCATATTTAGCTACACTTTAATAGATTAATTTTACTAAACATTATGCAAATAATTATAACAAGTTAATGAGTTAGTGTTAAAATATAAAATTTATTTTTTACATTATGAGTAGAAAATTGTTTTTTTTTTCTTCTTACTTATTAATACTGGAGTAGAAGTATAGCTCCAAACCTTCTTTGTATCAAAGTAATAAGCTGCTGGAGAACTGTTTAGAAGGTTCTGCAAAGAAGGTTTGGAGAAAAATAATTTTGATATACAAATATTTAAAACATGTGAACTTTTTTAATAATTGCTCCAAATAACTTTTAAATTTATATTCTACAAATAATTTTTGTTATGTTGTTATAGCATTTATTTTTGAAATGACCATAAATAATCAAATATCATTTCATTTTGTTGTCTCCTTTCATCTCATATTTACTACATTAAAATAAACATAGTGCTTTTTTAAAAATGGGGTCATAATGTTGTTTTTAAATTATATTTTAAAAGTTTAACATACATATTTGTCTTTTATGAGATATAAATTATAAAATCATAGCTATTAATTGGAAATTTTATTTGTGACCATTTATAGAAGGCAAAATCAAGAAAATACAGTAGTTTAAATAATAAAATTGTAAACTATTTTATATATAAGAAAATTCTTGTATTTGGAATTTTCCTTAATCATAACATACAGGATTTTTCAAATCTTTTTGAAGTCCAATAACTACAAGAGAAGTGTCTATTTATAAATCATGCCATTTTCAATAATTATTACCTTGAGATGATCTAATTCTCAGAAATCAAGCTATCACAAGCAAGCAAGGCCTAGGAAAACTGAAATTATAAAGTAACAAGATGTGTCATATGACCATCTATTTATACTTTTTGTAGTAAGCACAATGCTAGTATGGATAACCTGTCTTAATACTGTTTCCAAGTTATTATTTATTGTGACATTGTGACAATGCCAGGTTGCAACTTTTAATCATCTTTTAATTTAAAAACAATATCACATGACTTTTGGTCCAAATGGGAAGTTTGTAACGATCCACGAAAAAACCTTTTTTACGAGGATTATTTTCACTATTAAGTTCCACTTAATAGTGAAAATAATCCTCGTAAAAAAGGTTTTTTCGTGGATCGTTATTATTCAACGAGGTGTTAAATTGTTGGAAGTAGTTATCTTGGGAAGTTTGTATTTAGTTAATCAGGGTCTTGACTCCTAAGCTTTCAATATCTGATCTGAATTTTAGTGGTGTCTTGTCCCTGTACATTGTACTTTTCCTGATAATGATTAAGTCATGCCAGTTATCTATCTAACTCCATTCTTGAGAAAATTTTGAATTGAAATCATGTGACTTCCAGTCTGACTGGAAGTCACATATTTAGTTACTACTAATCTTACCAGAAAGGTATTACAGAATGATTTTATACCTTTATGGGCTGAAGATTACCTCTTTAATCAATGTTTAAATTGCAGAACCATCTTTCTCCAGGAGTCATTATGTATAATGATGATAGAGCCCTGTGTAACAAACCTGCACTTGAAATCACAGAAGTATGGGTTACACTTAAAAAAATAAATAAAAAATATGCAATTATTTTAACATTTTGTAAAGAATAGATATGTTAAAAAATACATTTACAAATTAAAATAACATATTCATATTTTAAGAATGTTACATTTTTTGTTTTTATTATTTTTATTTTAAAATTATTGCATGTTTACTCATTTCATTTTAAGATTAATACATTAATAAGTTTAAAATTAAAACATGTTTCATCTGTTCAATTTTGTGTAAAAACTACATACTATGATTTGAATGGAATGTTTGGAATCTGTTAACATACTTTTTTAAAAATTGTAATTGAAATGGAATATACTCAACCTGAAGATGACAACTTCACTTTATTTAATCACATTCTAATGGAAATTCATCACCGCCTGAAGAAGAACCATTGAAGGTTTGAAAACGTTTGTGAAATTTTAATTTTTTGTTTTTTGAATTTAATTGCACACCGGTAACAGGCTTCAAGGTACATAATTGCTGAAGATGACATTTTGAAATGTCAAAAGTACTTGTTTCTAATTAAAAACATTGCAAATAAACAACTTTAATGTTGAAAGACAGTCTGGTTTATTCTTAATAGTTAATTGGGCCTACAGCATCCAAGTTTTCTATATCTACTCTTGATTTTCACATATCTACCTCCATTCTCAAGATTAATGAAAGACAGACAGATGGACAACAGTGGGAATGTATAGTTCTGCAATTTGAAAATTGCAGCCCAATTATAATGTTTTGTATCATTTATATTGCAGTATTGTATTGTATTGCAATATGGTATCTTTTCCATCCAGAAATGTACTATATAACAGTTAAAAATAGCTTATTTGATATATCAGTTTTCTGATATTATATTTTTTACAGAATATAAATCACCACATTGCTTAAAAAACCAATTAAACACATATGGATACAATTTCTGTAATCACTCAGGATATATTTCTTCATACTTGAAGGTCAGACTATTTACAAAAATATCAAAATTTTCGAGTCTATCTTAATCCTTTTTTATACACACCAGAAGTAACAGTTAACATGGGTTTTATTGAAGAATATACTTCTTAAAACAAAGGTAAACAATAAGTAAAAAAATTCACAAAGTTAAAAACGATCAACACTTTTGTAAATAGTCTGACCTTCAAGTATCAATTAAACACATTTAGTTTAAATGTTTTTAGAGTTTGCTTCATCTATAATCAAATGATAGAGCTATATTAACTATCAGACTAGAATTTGGCTAATTAATTATATAGATATTAAGTAATTTGCATCAAAGGTAGGTAGTTATGCTATTATCCTGTATTATTAAATTTAATACAATATTTTGATTAACTAATAAGTAATGATATCAAGGTTTATAGGTAGGCAGTTAGGCTACCATCTTGTATTGATATTAATGATTATGCAAATTTTAGAATTAAATTTAATAATTTGGACTATTCTGGAAGAAAAGGTCAACATTCAACACAGCAGGATTCAAATCTGAGGTTTCTGTTTACTAATGCAGATGTATTACCAGACACACTACCTGGACCTCCAACCAAACTCACTTACTGGTTATACATCTTAAATTAATAGATTTGAAAACAGATCAGGAGATGTCCTAGTAACATAACTGATAATTCATCTGTGTAATAAGCAGGAGTTTGAGTTTCACTCCAGAAGAAAATAAATGAGCAAGCTTCATCTATATGTACCACAGATTATAAAATATTCATTTAGTTATTATTAATTTTAATAAATATTACATTTCTCATAGTTTAAAAACAAATTGGTGTATTTTTTGTTGACTTCTGCAATGCAACCCTCCTGTTGTACCAGTCTTAGTCTGGTATATTATTATTTTGCACTATTTGAAATTTTATAAGAACATAGCCTTTGTATTGTACATGGGTCACCTGTATTTTGTATTTTCTTCCATTTTATTTATATGTTGGCTCTCTTTTCTTGATTTCTATCACTTTAATTATGACTATTTCAAGCAATATAGTAATTTGACATTTAATAAGTATACTTGTAGATAGAACAAAGCAGAAAATAAAACCAGGTCTTTTTTGAAGTTTTTATTTATAAATTTTAAATTGAATTTGCAAAATTTCTAATTGATTATTGATTTTGCATAACTGATCTTACTGTACAAGATATAAAATAGCAAAAAATCAAATTATATAAATAGATAAATTATTAATATTGACTGACTATTGAAAATTTGTTAATGCTTATTGAATTATAATTATTGAATTTAGCATTATCCAGTATTGTAAAAAAAAAAAAAAATATTCTTAGATTATTGGTTCCAAAAATCCACTTTATAGTATATTATGTGAATAAAAATTTTGAGTCATTTATATAAATGAATCTTTTATATAAATCAAAAATAATACATGGTTTTTTCTTTTTCCTAAATTTTTATTATTGATCTTTTCATATACTGAAATATTAATGAAGATATACTCTTCATTAATATTAAGATAAATTTTAAAAGATATTAAAAGACAGTTTATGAAAAATAAGGAATAAATGAAGTGTGTAATGCCATAATGTTGTAAATGCCATTTTTCTCTAAATATGGTTTATTGAAGAATTAAATTCTAAATGCCATGTTTTCTGCCATAAAAGAATATTGTGGAGATATTGGCCCTATAAGTGGCTGTATTTTGAAGATGAATTTATGTGAAGATATAACATTTAAGCCACCAGAGTGCAAGTCATGTGACTTTTGGTGCTTAAAACATTACAGCTTATATTTACATCATTTTGATATTCCAGAGAATTTGTAACCTAGTAAGATTTTACCATTTTATTGTAAAGTTGAAATGAATTCATTTATTCGAAAAAGTGTTTTTTTATCTCTCCTGAAAAGTTTCTGTTTTGGCATTTACAACATTATGGCATTGCATGTTTCAAATATTTTAATGATAAAAATACATCTTATAAAATATATCCTAATATACATTTTAGATGCATTACATGTGTTGTAGTAGACTATTCTTCATTTTTTATAGTTGGGGATCAGGTGCAAATCCTTGGGGTCCAGAAAAAGAAGATTTATTTTCTAAACCAACTCATTATGATGGCATGTTGGAAATTGTTGGGGTTACTGGAGTTGTACATATGGGACAGATTCAAAGTGGTTTAAGAAGTGCCATTCGTATTGCACAGGGAGGTAGTGTAAGTAAAACATTTGTATTTCATTATGTTTTCATTACAATTTTTATTTTTAATTTGATTAAAAATTTACATCTACATAGTTATATAGTTTATGATGATAGGATTGATATTTGTAAATTAATTTCAAGAGAATATATATTTGTAGTATTTAATAATTGATCATCAAAAATCATAGCTTATATTTTTGGATTAATTTATTCATATTCCCTACTAAATATTTATTATTACAGGTCTCAGAGTCACTCATTTTTTCTCACCTGTATTCTCTTTTCTGAAGTATCCTCACTTTTCTCACTTTTTGGTCATTTCCACGTGCTTAATTAGTAAGATGTGGGACTAATCAAAAATATTTTTAAAGCCAGACGAACTATTGGACTAGAAGTTTCTGGAAGAAAATATATTCGGCCTGAGCAGGACTCAAAACCACAACTGCTGCTCAGTGTTGTTAAATTATAGGAAACAAAAATCCTTTCACATACTGGGTCCGTACACACCTGGAAAGTCAGGGAACCCATAAATATCAAGGAATCCATCTGCCATTCATGTTCTCTTTTGATCCGAACATGTCTTTAAATTCAGTTCAGTATACTAAAATGTAAATTTTCGACTATAAATTTGTATCTTCTATTATCAGGACTTATTATACTGGCTTTATAGATAATGCTACAAAGTTTAACAGAAAACAATTATTATTTTATTCCATATACCTGTTAAACTTTGTAGCATTATCTGTAAAGCCAGTATAATAAGTCCTGATAATAGAAGATACGAATTTATAGTCGAAAATTTACATTTTAGTAAGAAAAAAGGACATTGAGGCATTTTAATTAATTAATTAATTCAGTATAGGGAGGTTTACAATAACTGGAGTAACCAAACAAATGGCAAAATTTGTTGTGCTTATATATNCCTATTAGCTGGTTCTTGTAGGGAATCTTATACACACCCGCCTTATCTTCTTTTTTAACAACCCCTTTATCGTTTCTAAGTATTTTGTACAAATTTGGAGCTCTTTTTAAGATCACCTTTGTATCTTTTATATTTGCAATTTCTTTCATAATGCCTCCTAAATACTTGTTGTATGTAAATTTCGTGTATTTAGATGAAAGAATTATGAAGTTAGCAGGAACATTGGGTTATAAGAGGAATGTTATAAAGGGAATTATTAAAAATTTGAAGCCAGTAAGGATAAAGTCTCTAGACAAGGTCCATCTAAATACACGAAATTTACATACAACAAGTATTTAGGAGGCATTATGAAAGACATTGCAAAATTTAAAAGATACAAAGGTGATCTTAAAAAGAGCTCTGAATTTGTACAAAATACTTAGAAACGATAAAGGGGTTGTTAAAAAAGAAGATAAGGCGGGTGTGTATAAGATTCCCTACAAGAACCAGCTAATAGGAATAAAAAAAAGAATATGTAGGGGTTACTACTAGAAACCTAGGTATAAGGATCAAGGAACACAGATATGATATTAGAAAAGGTTCTAATACAACAGTATTGGCCCAGATGGTGCAAGCAGAAGGTTCCTTGGTTCGATGGGATGAAGCAGAAATCCTGAAACAGATACACTCTCCAACTTTGGCAAGAACAGCTGAAAAGATAGAAATTTATAGAAGCAAGCTTAAAGAAAAATGCATTAACGCAAGGGACACGGAGGGTCTTCCTTCAGCTTGGAAGTATACCGTTAAAAACTTACAAGAGGCGCATGAACTCTAGTATGATATAAAGGAAACTCTATTTAGTTAGGACAGACAGTATTAATATTTAGTACTAGTAATATGTTATTTATATTTACATATTTTTATCATTTACAATGTATTATTTATTCTTATTAGTAGATATGTTATTGGTTATTAGTATTTTTGAATTTTGAACTTGTTATTCTGTTTATGAAGTATTCCATTTAGCCTGATGATGATCTATTGAATGGATCGAAAACGTTTGTTTTAATAAAAAATCTCTCAGCGAGTAATAAGGTGTTGGTTACGTATTTATTTATTTTCTGCTGGGTATGATTGTGGTTTATATTGGTCTTAGTATACTTAAAAATTATACAAGGTGAAGAAAATAAATAAATTTAAAATTAAACTTAAAACTATGCCTAAAGCTATACAATATAAAGATGAAAACTTTGCCATGACTGTATGAGCAGTAAGCATTATCAATGTAGACAAGAGTAATATTTCTTCCTAATGTTGCATAGTAACGTGAGGAACAGGTGCTGATACAAAAATAGTTATGAGTTAGCCAAATTATTGGTTAACAGTTATGAACTAATGTTATAAAGTCAGTTTAAATTATATACATACCAAAAACAGTAGGACAACAGAGTTGCAGGTTCAGACATTTCTACAAGATGCAGGGAGTGGTTACAAAGGAGGTTTATTACCTTACACATCTGGAGCACAAGTGGTGACAACATATAATGCAGCCAAATGTCATTGTTAATTTTGTCTATTTCATCCTTTAATAGATGAGGGCCCATGCACAAATATCGATTTGGTTATAGGCAAATTATTTGTTAAATGTAACATTATTATTACAGAAAATTCTTTTAGCCCTAAGTATAATTAAATTAATTAAAATATCTATTATCTGCCTCATGGTTATAAATAGTTTAATTAATTTAATTATACTTAGGGCTAAAAGCATTTTCTGTAATAATATTGTATATTGATGTTAAAGTGTCCTTGATTGGATAGAAATGGGTTGCTGTCTCATCAGACTTTTTCCCAATCCTTGGTCCTCTCACACTCACCACCTCAATCTTGTGTTGTTCACAGGTAGCCAGAACAAAGCAAGTGGGGAAAAAAGATTCCCTAATACATGTGAATCATGACATTTTATACCGTGCCAAGCAGATATCCAGATTTGCTAGTGGAGGACTGGCCAATCTGGTTGTCAACATAAGGTGAACTAGAAAAAGGTTGTACTGTACCACAAACGAAGGGGTTGAGGAAAAAATCGAAACAAAAATACATAGTCGCAAAGCTCTACAATATCAACACTTAATGATATATGTTTAAAAATAATAATAATTTTCATTAAATAATGTAGACTCTACATTTCTTATATTTACAGTATTTACTGCTGTAACAAATGACATTTTACAACATATATTTCTGTGTGTTTTAACTATGATATTGCAAATTTAATTCCTTGCTCTGAATATCAATTAAGTTCCAGATACCTTGAGTTAAAAAAATATATAGAATCAGTCATATTAGTTAAATAAAACTTTAAAAAAAAAACTTTTGGTCTTAAAGGAAGACATTTCTAAAATTAGTAACACCTTATAATCTCTTAATTAAAATTTCCTTTCAGCTCCATCCTAGAAAGTAACAAATACAACTAACTTTAAGTTTCTCTGATTGTTTATGTTAATGTTTTCACCATTTTAACAGTTTTGACTTCTAAGACCTGTTTCATGTTGCTGAAATGCTTCATTATTAAAAAATGGAATATTTCAAGGGAACTTGTACCAATTCAAATTTTGATCAATGGAGTGTTTCCACTTGTAGCTGATGAAATAAATCCTTTGTAATAGTCCATTTGTCAAAATTTGAATTTATACAAAATTCTCCAGAGCATTCAATTTTTGAATATTGAAGCATTTCTACAACCTGAACCAGAACTGAAAGAATTTGTTTGTGTTAATTTTTTAATCATTCTGCTAGGAGAAACTTAAAGGTTTGTGTGTTATTTTTACTTACTTGCCCAGTTTATGGGAGAGGGAAACATTTATCCCAAAAAGTTCCAAGATTTTACCATTATCAGTTTTAGTTCTACATAAACTAAGCAAAAGCTTAATAAATAGTATTGCATTTTAGATGTTATCAAAAAAAAGTGGAAAATAACTTGAAAAGATGACCTTTAATATTCTCTTCATTAAGACAATGTGATCAATATAATTTGAACTAAAAAGTATAATGTTAATTTGAACCATCTTTAGACATCACTTATTGAAATAGCACTTGGTTATTAATTGAATTTTGTGTGTTTTTTTAACTTTATTGTTTAACATCTTTAGGATCTAAGATTTTAAAATAATAAATTACTGAAAATCAAAGTTATAGTATAACATAAATAATATGTAAATAAAAATGACGTATAAAACAAAAAGTAGCAAAATGATTCAAATAATAAATAGTAAATAAGATGAAATATAATAAAATTCAATGATTAGCCAAAGCAAGCCTTTATCTATTTCAAAAAAAATAAAAAATAAAAAGTCAGTATATTACAGGGTTTCAGAATTATAGCTTTGGTTGTTTTCTTGATAAAAGTTCCTTTCATTTACTATTACAATTTATAATTTAAAGTGTTTCAAAAACTGTAAAATCATGCATCTCAACCAAATTTGCTGATTTTGTATTATTATTATTCACAGTATCTTCACATGTTTGTTAATTCTAATTTGCATGAATCTGGAAGTTGCAATTGCTGAATTCATTTTATTGGGCTGCAATTTGAAAAAATTGTAGACCTATAAATTCCCACTGTCATCTGTCTGTCATTTCTTAATCTTGAGAATGGAGTTAGATAGACGAAAGTCAAGACCAGATATGGAAACCTTAGGGGCAGGAGGCCTCGATTAACTCTATACGAACTTCTGGTGCAATCTGGAAGTCAGTGTTGTTTCAATTCAAAAACTTCTCCTGAAAGGTGTTAGATAGATGACCAGAACAATTCTATTGTTAAAGGAAAAGTATGATGTACAGGGGCAAGCCACTACTGATCTGAGATAGAGAGCATATATCTTAAATTAAATAAAATAAAAATATGATTAAAATTGCAGTTCAACATTGTGCCAATGTCACAATAAATAATTGCTTGTTTTATTTGATTTCATTTAAATTCATTATTATTTTATCATGTTGCAAATTTTTGTTTTTTACAATGACTTTTATTTATTTATTAAGTTATGTAATCCAATATGTTATGTTATTTTGAAATTTTCATTTTAAATGCTTTGTTCTTCTAAAATCTTAACCCTGAAGAAGTTAAACAAGAAAGTTAATGAAAATGCTTTTTATGTTGTTTCAGTATGTAATGTCTGAAGGTAGTTCAAATTAATGTTATAATTTGCTAGTGTTATTAATAATATATTTTAAACATTTAAAAAATTGTTTGGTGCATTTAAAACTATTTAAAAACTCTGACTTCCATTTCAATAACAAGTGAATTTAATACAGACAGATTTTAAATGTCTTTCCAGAAATTATACAGATGGTTCTTGTTTTTGAACAATTCTCTGCAAAAAACAAAACAAAACAAAAAGAGAGAGAAGAATTTCAAGTTGACCTTGCCAGGCTTCAAGCAATTTCACATATTTTACAACTTTGATATAACTAAATTTAACAAAAGCAGAAATTTGAGATTGCACTGTTTTTATGAAATATTAGACAAAAATAATGAGATATTTCAATCTATAAATTTTATATCAAAATCTTGCATCAAATGTCAGATTAATTCTATGTTATTTCTATGAAGATTCAGTTCAATAAAATCCTTTAAAATCCTACAAATAAAAATAAAATTATAGTTTTATTAGAAGGTTGAAGTTCTAAATCCTGAATCATCTTGGTTAGCTTGCTGTTAAAGTATAGGATCACTAGTTAGTCTAGAAAGCTAGTTCTTTGTACTAAACTGGATTTGAGTTTTTAGTCTTTTAAGGATCTACCTTCAAAGGTAATACACATGAAGAATGAGTTGTTATAAATGTATATTTTGCATACTAACCATACAACCATATCAGTTGAAAAAGGTCTTAATATATATTTTAGTTGGTATTACAAATAGCATTAGATATAGTTGTACTATAATTGTAGATTTGTTATGTTTGTAGGAATTGGAAATAAATCTAGAAAAATATTGAACTCAAGAATTACTAAATTAATTAATTAGGCATATTATTTTCTATAAACTTAGAAAAATTACAAAAAATTTTCAATGAATGAACTTTAAAAGTATCCTTCATCTTAGTCTCTTCTCATATATTGAATACCATCAGGAAATAACAATTTCATGGCAGAGTTGACCTTTATTTTATTTGGAGGCTTCTTATCTGCCTCAATATACAAAAACATTGCAATCTTCTCTCTGGTGGCAGTGCACATTATTTTATCTTTTTAATATTAATATTTACACTATCATATTTATCCAATTATTAATAAATTTTTATTAGCTGAATTGATTGATATAAGTAAAATTTATTTTTGATTTTACCTCATGAAATTCGATAATTAATAATTTGTACTTGATAACAGAGTATCCTGCTTTCTCTTCTAGGCCCTAAAATATTAAGGAAAGCATTTTCTTATTTTCTCATTTTAAAATATATTTTAATCAATATTTTTCATTGCAGTAGGATGACAATTTTTAATTACTTTTTTATAATTATTATTTTTTAACTTTTAATACGAATATCAAAGTGTTCATATATACCATATTATTACTAAGTGTTATACTGATATTCTGAATTTGATTTTACTGCCTCGCAAAACTACATTTTTATACAATAATTATTCAACTTACATTGATGTTCTAATATTTATAAGTTAAATTAAAGGTTTTGCTCTAGTGAAATAGTCTTTTAATATACATGATTGAATTGGTTATTTTTATTTTGAAAATATAACATATAATAACATTAATATATGAATAATTTAAAATTTTTTTAATTACAATAAAAGCATCTGAATAATAATGTAATGCATTACAAAATTATTAAACAAATGTGCTATGATATGTTAACATTAAATTTATTCTTGATTCATATTTTAAAAATATATATATTATATATATATATATATTTTACGGTAAGTAATAACAGAAAACAATGATGGAAGAAAGCCCACAGCACATAGATAGACAATTTATACTGTCTCTTTATATAGGCAACTATGCTCAGAAAAAGTAAAATGAAACGGAGGAATACCGAGTCAGCTCTAGCTGCAGGTAGTGGTGAGGATCAGTGACATTTTTTCCAGCCACATGGAATTAAGGAAGAATTCATGCTGTAGTGTTCTGTTTCAACATTCCCAAATTTGATCGTGGCTTTCAAGAGATCTGTAGTGATGTTGCAAAACATAAGATATAGAAGACTAGGTGATTGATTTGGGCTAATCCAATTTCCTTCATAGCTGATGCAATGTGTGTTGCAAATAAGTTATATGATGGAGACAATAATTTTTGCTGTGCAGAAACATTTAATGCATGTAATATTAAATTATTTCGCAAGCTGACAAAAAAGAACAGAATTTTCAGATGATACATCAATTTGTTGAAATTTATTGGATTATTTAATATATTTTAAAGTTGACAGATTTCAATATTGTAAAAAATCTTTCTAATCTTTTTAGTTTATTTGTCTCCTGCAGTAATGTATTATTGTTATTGTGAAAGAATGAAGATAACATGAGGTGAGAGGTAGAGAAAGAGAGCAAGAGAGATATTGAATCATATTTTATAATATATATTTTAAAATTACATATTTTTCAAAAAAATCTTGTAAAACAAGTTAAAAAATTATCTATTAATATATATATATATATATAAACAAGTTGTAAGTTAATTATAATTTAATTTTTGCCAAATGCTGTGACTAAGACACATTGAGTGTTCCTATTGTTGTATTGCATGAATGCCTTTCTTTCTAGCCCTTCCTCTATCTTCTTGAACTATTGCTATCCTCTTCTCAGTCTTTATCCCTCCCTCTTTAGGCTACCATGTTAAAGAAGAGTAAAACCAAAATTAAACGAAGAAATACAGAACCAAGTATGATTGTGTCAACTATGGATGTCTGCAATCAAGCGACTTCTGCATCGGGCAGTTCTACTCAAACAACAGGACCATTCTAATATAGCATAACAGATGTTGTCTGGTTAGAATAGCCAGCTGTTGATGGTATGTCTTGCTTATACCCCTGTCCATGATTCCTCTTTTCTGCTGCCTGTATAACCTTTCTTAGTCATATTACAGAGGCAGTGTTTCTTCTAGTATTGCCCCATTGTATAAAACAAAATAGTCCAAACAATCCAGTTTCATTCTGTATCTTGTCAGACTCTACGAACAAATTATTGAATTTGACTGAGTTTATAATAACAGCTATGGTGCCAATTTAATAAATTAAAAAAAAAAAACCTCATTAAGCCCAACTGATATAAATTAAAGTTTTAATCAGTTTCAATTTAAGTTTTTGCTAAAATTTGTCAGTAATAAATTAATCATAAAGTTGTTTGTTTATATACAGTATATATTATACTTTATATGCTAAACATCAATAGCATAAACATGCATATAAATAAAGCAAAAATTTGATCTGATGGAAATTATATATATATACATTCTTTATAATTATATAATGATAAAAATTATAAACTTTTGTAATTAAAACAATTATTAAATCTAAAATGAGTATTTGTAAGCATAAAAAAAGTTTTATTCATACAGTTGATAAATGAGTATATATATTTATGTATATATATGTACTGTATATGAAAGTAAAGCATATTATGTAGCAATATTTGCATTAAGTTTTTATCCTCCTCAAAGATATTTGGAGTGATTATTTATTTAATAGGCATTTCAGAGAATTAACATTTTTTTGATAGATATAAAAATATTTGAATAATAAATTAGCTTTGTTTAATCTATGCTATGGAATGCTAATTACTAACATCAAAAATCTAAATTGGACATAGCTGTTGATTTTATTGAGGATTATATTGTGTAAAATATATGTATTGTATTAATACTTTCAGATTGTTGCATGCAGCCCTATTATCCTTTGTTCGTGTAATTTGATTTCTGTTGTGTCTACATCTAAAAGTCACAGCTTTATGATAAAAATAATAAAAATTAAAGAAAAATAATAATCTTGAAAGTATATTTATTTTTTGCTAAAAAAAAATATTTCATGACACCAATTTAAAAAATGCACATAAAAGATGTAAAATTATATGTTCATAATGATATAATTTTTTGATTTATTGTTTAAGAATTTTAAAGTTATATCATTGTAAAATTTTACTGTAAAAAAAAGAAAAAGTATATATATATATAGATATATATATTATGGCCCAAACTCAAAGCACAAATATTAATGATAATTTGATTCAAAAATTATCTGAAATATTTATAGATACTGCAAAAATATTAATATATTATAATATTTGTCAAATAATAATGAAATTAATTAATTAAAAATATCATTATTTTGATAAATTTTAAAAAATTATTGGTATTATTACTCTCTCTAGAAACAATGTGTAATTTATATTTATAAGTTATAACTTATTTTAAACTAATTATTTTCAACTTTCTTCTAATATAAAATTATTTTTTTAACAAAAATGTTAATTTATCATTATTTTACTATCATTCATAAAAAGATTAATAGGAAAAATAATAAAAACACAGCAATTATATATGGAGATAAAACATTACAGCCTGTAATGGTTTTATTTTTATTATTGATATTCTATGATTATACATAAGTAATAAATTCAAAGTGTAGCATGTATTATCAGAGAATTATATTCTTTTTCTTTAATTAGAGATTAACTTTCAACATTAAAAATAAAAATGAAAATAAGCTATGATCAGATGGCAGTGAATGCACAGACCTAACTAACCTTGAAACAGTTAAATTTCTATCTCCATATTGACAAATTTGGAATCTTAGTAACTCTTGTTTCATTAGGCTCATACCAGATTATTTGACAGTTTTAACAAGATATAATGTCATATCCATATGTGGAAGAATATGCCATCAATTTCAAATTCAATCCTAAACCCTTCAGTATAATAAATAAAATTTATAGCTATATATGAAATTTGTTTGTTATAACTTAATTATCAATAACTTAAAAAATAAAAAAAGTGATATTTTGAATTTAGTATTTTTATTATCTCACTTATAATTTATACAGTAACAAATAAAAAGATAAATCTTGTATTATTTTTCATTTTGAACTTTAACTTAAACAAGAATGGGACCATTAGGCAAAAAAAAAAGTGAAAATATTTTTAATCAGGATAAATGTTATCAAAATTCAGCATTCCTGCCCCAGATTCTCCTTGAATTTTATGATTTTATTTTTTCAGTCTGTGTTATCTTTAATAATACTTTTGAAATGTTCTGTTTTAAAATTTCTTTATTTATTGAGAATCTAACATTCAAATAAAACTGCATATAAAAAGATGCTAGCACTTATTTATGATTCTAGATAATACAGATGGATATAATACAAAAATTTAACTTTTATTTTTTCTCCTTATATACAGGGTGGGCCATCGAAAACAAAACGGCAGAGTTATCGTGTTCATCCAAGCAAATCGCTTGGACAGATCGATTTTATTCTCAAGGGGAACATCTGCAATAAAGTTTTTGTGATTTTGAATACAACAGACAACAAAAAATTTTAAAAACTCATTCATTTTTTTATTAACTAAACAAACACTTATTTCAGAAAAAAGTAACACAAACTATTAACAAACATAAAAAAAAACCTTTTAAACTGGACCGCATATGCAAGGAAAAAAATATTCCCCCTTGAGAATAAAATCGACCTGTTCGAGTGATTTGCTTGGACGAACACGATAACTCTGCCGTTTCGTTTTCGTTGGCCCACCCTGTATAGTAGTTATTCTGTGATATTAAATAAACATAATCTATTTTTTTTTTAAATGTGATATCAGAAAATAAAATAATATTTCATCTGTACCTTTACAAATTATTTGATTATTGATATTCATTTACTTATCATATTCTTATGCATTATATATATTTATTCATATTATATATGCATAACAAGAAAAATTTTTTAAATAATAGGTTTTTTTAGAATAAATTTGGCAACAATTTAAAAAAAATAAATTAAAGTTCTATGAAGTTAATCTTTGCATATTTTTACATTTTCTTTGTACTGAATATATATATATTTAGTACAAAGAAAAAGTAAATACAAAGAAAATAATATATATATATATTATTTTCTGTTAAAATTACTTCTTTCACAGAAAACTATTAAATATGAATTTTTTTTTTTATTATGCTTAATACATTCATTGTTATTGTTTTAGAATATTTATAGAAAGAGTTTAATAATAGCATTCAGCTCATTGGACTAAAGCATCAAAACTAAAATTAAAAATAATAAAAATGACAATTTATAAAGAATTACGAATATCAGATAATTTTTAAAAATTTTCTCTATTAANTTAATTAAAAATATCATTATTTTGATAAATTTTAAAAAATTATTGGTATTATTACTCTCTCTAGAAACAATGTGTAATTTATATTTATAAGTTATAACTTATTTTAAACTAATTATTTTCAACTTTCTTCTAATATAAAATTATTTTTTTAACAAAAATGTTAATTTATCATTATTTTACTATCATTCATAAAAAGATTAATAGGAAAAATAATAAAAACACAGCAATTATATATGGAGATAAAACATTACAGCCTGTAATGGTTTTATTTTTATTATTGATATTCTATGATTATACATAAGTAATAAATTCAAAGTGTAGCATGTATTATCAGAGAATTATATTCTTTTTCTTTAATTAGAGATTAACTTTCAACATTAAAAATAAAAATGAAAATAAGCTATGATCAGATGGCAGTGAATGCACAGACCTAACTAACCTTGAAACAGTTAAATTTCTATCTCCATATTGACAAATTTGGAATCTTAGTAACTCTTGTTTCATTAGGCTCATACCAGATTATTTGACAGTTTTAACAAGATATAATGTCATATCCATATGTGGAAGAATATGCCATCAATTTCAAATTCAATCCTAAACCCTTCAGTATAATAAATAAAATTTATAGCTATATATGAAATTTGTTTGTTATAACTTAATTATCAATAACTTAAAAAATAAAAAAAGTGATATTTTGAATTTAGTATTTTTATTATCTCACTTATAATTTATACAGTAACAAATAAAAAGATAAATCTTGTATTATTTTTCATTTTGAACTTTAACTTAAACAAGAATGGGACCATTAGGCAAAAAAAAAAGTGAAAATATTTTTAATCAGGATAAATGTTATCAAAATTCAGCATTCCTGCCCCAGATTCTCCTTGAATTTTATGATTTTATTTTTTCAGTCTGTGTTATCTTTAATAATACTTTTGAAATGTTCTGTTTTAAAATTTCTTTATTTATTGAGAATCTAACATTCAAATAAAACTGCATATAAAAAGATGCTAGCACTTATTTATGATTCTAGATAATACAGATGGATATAATACAAAAATTTAACTTTTATTTTTTCTCCTTATATACAGGGTGGGCCATCGAAAACAAAACGGCAGAGTTATCGTGTTCATCCAAGCAAATCGCTTGGACAGATCGATTTTATTCTCAAGGGGAACATCTGCAATAAAGTTTTTGTGATTTTGAATACAACAGACAACAAAAAATTTTAAAAACTCATTCATTTTTTTATTAACTAAACAAACACTTATTTCAGAAAAAAGTAACACAAACTATTAACAAACATAAAAAAAAACCTTTTAAACTGGACCGCATATGCAAGGAAAAAAATATTCCCCCTTGAGAATAAAATCGACCTGTTCGAGTGATTTGCTTGGACGAACACGATAACTCTGCCGTTTCGTTTTCGTTGGCCCACCCTGTATAGTAGTTATTCTGTGATATTAAATAAACATAATCTATTTTTTTTTTAAATGTGATATCAGAAAATAAAATAATATTTCATCTGTACCTTTACAAATTATTTGATTATTGATATTCATTTACTTATCATATTCTTATGCATTATATATATTTATTCATATTATATATGCATAACAAGAAAAATTTTTTAAATAATAGGTTTTTTTAGAATAAATTTGGCAACAATTTAAAAAAAATAAATTAAAGTTCTATGAAGTTAATCTTTGCATATTTTTACATTTTCTTTGTACTGAATATATATATATTTAGTACAAAGAAAAAGTAAATACAAAGAAAATAATATATATATATATTATTTTCTGTTAAAATTACTTCTTTCACAGAAAACTATTAAATATGAATTTTTTTTTTATTTATGCTTAATACATTCATTGTTATTGTTTTAGAATATTTATAGAAAGAGTTTAATAATAGCATTCAGCTCATTGGACTAAAGCATCAAAACTAAAATTAAAAATAATAAAAATGACAATTTATAAAGAATTACGAATATCAGATAATTTTTAAAAATTTTCTCTATTAAGAAGTAAATTATGATTTTTTATATCAGTTTTAATTCAAATTTTTGTTTTAGATATAATGAATTTCATCAAAGAAAAGTTTTTATTAATAGTCAGTATTAAAATTTCTTTAATTCATCAGGTTTTTAGTTTTTTTAACTACTATACAAAGAAGTATCAATAAATAAATAAATTAATGAATTAAATGATGATAATATTTAGAAAATATAAGTTTTCCAGTTTCTATTTAAAAATTATTAATTAAAACAATTATACACTCATTCCAGTTTATTTATAACAATCAACCTTTTTTTTTATCAAATTTCCAATAAATAACATAAGTATAATTTGCAATGCCTATTTATCTATTTAAAAATATTTCCTTATATCTTATATCATTACAAAATTCATATATAATAACTATATATATAATCATTTAGAACTTTCTGTTTATTTTGGCAATAGAAGCATATATTACAAAACATAATATATTTTTTTTAACATATTTAAAATACATTCAAGTTATGCACCTTATAAGAATGCCTACTTCAAAATAAAAACACTGGTATTTGAAAATCAAAGAATTATATTGTTTTTAAAATATTAATAATTTTATTCCTGTTTGATAAAAATAAAACATTTATTACTTTTTACTGTGAACTTTTTTACATAAGGACAATTGAATATTTAGAACATATAATCATTATTA